TAATTGATTATTAAGGTTTCCTCTTGAGGATATTTGTCCCAGAGAAAAAGAAAAGTATCAGCTTTATGCTGTTATTAACCATAATGGCTCACTGCAATTTGGACACTGTGCGTACATAAGATATATATGTGCAGGGCCGTAGCCAGGAACTTAAAACAGGAGGTTCGAAATTGCTGCGCGCGAAGCGCGCAGCGAAAATTTTGACAAAAATGGGCGTGGTCGGTAGGCGTGGTCTTAATTTACGCATCTCAGCCATGTGCTGACTCAGCTAAAATGGCTATCTGTGCTTCTCGCTGTTGCCAAAATGCTAATCCTGCTTTTGCAGTGCTGTTCTTCATGACAGGAGCTAATCTAAAACTTTTTTGCAGCTACAACAGGGGGTTCGTCCGAACCCCCCGAACCCCCCCTGGCTACGGGCCTGATGTGTACTTTTTACTTGTGAGTATAATTATTTTCATTTTACAGATTATGCTTATGTGAAATGTCAAGACAAATGGTATGAATGCAACGATTCAATATGCTATGAAATATCTGTGGACAATGTTATTGTGAGAATATTGAAAATTACTTTTTCTATTAATTATTATTTATTATTATTTTAACATAGACTTCTTCGGCATATGTCCTGTTTTATGAACGTGTCAAGGTCAATGAAAGTGAAGCCTACCTAGTTTAGCCTAAATGGGAATTACTGCCAAATTGTGTTCGTATTTTATATCTTGAGAATAGTTTGATGTGACCTGATTATACTATAGTTATCATCATTTCCACTTTAAGCATTAATTACAGCTATTGGTATTGTAAAATCATTTTATGTGAATGAGTAAAATTGTGTATAAGCAGGTACTCAGTAAATGCATGCTAGTCGACTATTATGATGTAGATCTAGCTAAGAATTTATGCATGTGGGTTAGCTCAAAAATCAGTGACACATTAAGTCAGTTCACACCCATCTGTGTCTAATGGGGCCTTCGTGTGCAGCATAAGCAATAGTTGCTCTAGCACTTGTGGATCAGGTCAATGCAAAGCTGTGCATGCTCAAATAGATCTATTACCGGGTAAATGCTTTTAAAATAGTAGCTCTAGGGGGGCAAGTCTACAAAAATTTTAATTTCCCTACACACGTACACAGGGAGGGACCGATTAAGAATTTGTCAAGTTGGCAAAATGGACCATGACTGGTAGGCTGGGGAATGATATGCAGAGGCGTATTTAGGGGGGGGCTGAGGGGGCTTGAGCACCCCCCTCAGGGCTGGGCTCAGAAAAAATTACTGAACTCCTGGACTCTTGCATCACTACCAAGCCTTTTAACAAAGTTATCTAGCCCCCTTATCATGATTTCAGCAGTTTCCAGTGCTTTAAGGAGCAATCAGAAGTACCAGTAACATAGCAGTATGCTTGAAATAATCTTGGCCCCACCCGTAATTGACGAAAATGCAGGAAAAGGCCGTTTTACCGCCGTAAAAGTGGGTGTGGCCAAAATCGCGGCGCGCCCTCAGCACCTCCCTTCTCCAATTCCTAGATACGCCCCTGATATGTCTTGTGAAACTAGAGAGGCTCCAATTGCAAGTCAACGAACATCAATCAAAATCCCTTTCTTCCCCGAAGACACTATTAGATAATGAGGACAAAGTAAGAGAATTTTTATGAGAATATGATGTGTTTGTGTCTTGGTTTCTGTGAGGCTACCTAATTTTTTCCCTTCTTTCTCTCTCTACTCTTTTCTTCCTCTTTTCTCTCCTTCTCTCTCTAGTTCCTCTGATTGCTACACACAGATTCGTTTTCTTATTTATATCCAGCCCCCACTACTCCTCCTAATAATGTTAATTTGTCTCGTAACATCGAGAACAATGCACTCCTTGCCACATGGGACGCTGTTGAGACCACACCCCCTGAGGGAGAGGTAGCGTTCTATCAGGTTGAATTCAAGGACATGAGATCCTCCATTGCTAACACGCTGTTCATTGATCCAGGGTTTAGTTTCTCTAGTATATTCAATGTCAGCAATGCTCAGGGATATCAAGTGAGGGACTCATTTATTATGTGATTTACATGTACATGTACATGTGAATGGTGTACAATAAAATGGGCCAAAGTCTGGCACTTTAGTTTTTAGCCAAATTTGCCAAAAATGAAAAGGAGAAGATTTTTAATTCTTTTAATTTTTTCTGATACGTATATACATGTTTTTATGTTGTGTAGCAAGTTTGAGTTGATTCCGATCAAAATTAATTTTTTTATGAATTTTTAAAGTTACTCAAAAATTGGGCCAAAGTTCCTGTACTATATAGTACAGTAATTTCAACCAAATTTCATCAAAATTGGCTAAGAGAGAATTTTCCATTTTTATAAATTTTTATGATACATATACATGTTCTTATGTT